AAGTGGACTCAACGTATCCACTCTAAACTGTTATCCATTGAACTGGCCGATAGAATCACTCTTCGAATTGGAATTATCTGCTGACAGAATCACTCTTCGAATTGGAATTATCTCTTGCTCATTCTTATATCAAAACCAAGCTATATCAGTGGGAGCTTGAACATCTTAGCGACCTCCTTAATCCCACATGCTCTCTAAAATTTTTCGGTTTACCCCCTGTTTTAGAATATCCTTTAAATTATTTCAACTTATTGACTAATCCTACATGGTGGAGAACTTTCATGCTAGATCTGTTTAATATATTCCTGTCAGCTGTGCAGTTTGGCTGTTTTTCCAAAACCCCTAAAGATAAAAGACTCTGCCTTTTCTGCCACTTGCTGCACAACACCTTGGACCATATTCTATTTAGATGCCAGCACACTATTCTCTTCGGAAAGTCTTTTTAGATCACTGGCTGATCCACTTTACGGATTACTTTCCTGATCTTCTCCCTGTCTTCTTGAGTGATCGCTGTGCTCCCCTCACTGAGGTGGTGGCAAACTATTTAACTGAAATGTTGAACCTAACTGATGCCTTATAATCTTGAACTCCTCTTTGCCCCATTCTCTGGGTAATTTTTTGTTTTTCATGATTTTGTACTTCCTCATTGGTGCTGATTGTGTCTCTTTCCCCTATGTATTTGTATAATGCCAATAAAGGTATCATATCATATCAAATGTATGTACAGTATGCTATAATGAACTTGTTTATGTTACAACAAGTAAACATGGAGATAGTGCACCCTTTTGGTGATTTTAATTTTTTGAGTCCACAGTAGTCTAGCATTTCAGGATTTTAGGGTGACAGTACCCTAGTGCATCAAATGCTTAATCGTATAAGCAGAGGTCCCAACCCCTGGTCTGTGGCCCGGTGCTGGCCCATGATCTGAACCAGACAGACCTCCTGCCCCCCACTCACCCCCGCACAGCTGATTTGTGCATGCACGCTCGCTCCAGCATGTCTGTGTGAGCGATGCACCGCCATTTGCACATGCACACAAACACACACACCCGCACAAGCACCACACCACTGTTTGTGCATGCACACACTCATTCATGCATGCTCATGAGTGCGGAGGGCATCCCGCCTTCCCCAGCCAGTCCACAGGGTGAAAAAGGTTGGGGACCTCTGGTATAGAGCATTATTACTCTAAGCTCTGAACATTTTTAGTCATAACAATGATATTATGAGCTTGCGAGATATTAAAGACCCCTGAAATTACAAAGACTGCAGGAACAATACTATTTCCTATTGAAAAAATATTCCTGGGGTACCAAGCTTTTGGATTTTCAGGTCCCTGGAAAATAGGTTATTTACAAATTCTCTTTGTAAATAACCTGAGAAAATTATAAATATAAAGATGTAAGACATACATGTGGGCATTCAGGAATTCATTACATTATCACAACTCCACAATATTTGGGGCACCAGACATCAAAGAGCAACTATCATGTGGCAGGCTTCATTTCCAGAAGTCAACAACACAATCAGTATGGATTTTCCTCCATTGATTCAAACTGGGTAAGCTGGGTGACCGTTGAGAATAATAACATGTGTGTAGTAATACACTTAAAGGCTAAGAAATGCTTTTACTTTATATTGTTAACAAATTCAATATTTCAGGAGATGTTTTCTTAGTTTTTTTTATTGTGCCTTTTAGGTTTGTTAGCTCCTGCATTTTTAGAATATACTGTAATTGAAACATTCTCATTGTTTTTCTCTTAACATGTATGCGCCTGTATTTTGGATTGAATTCTGCCTTAAGAATTTGTCTACAACTTAAGTTTAATTTTCATATATTTTTAAGCATTTGTGCCTATACTGTACTTTTCTATAGGTGTAAAACTTTTTGGTGTTTAAAAACATAGAAACGAAGTAGATAAAGCTTGTAGAAGTTAGATAAACTGATGCTGCCTGGAATTATTGCAACAATTAAAAGTCTTATACTTCAATACTCAGATGAATTTGATATGATTGTCAATGATTATCTGGTTTGATTCTGTAATTAATCCTTAACTGGGATAAAATGCCAGTTTCTGCTTTTTCCCTTGAAGCCTGTAAAGTTCTATAGGTCTCTTATGGGTGTTTTCAGATGTTAGAGTTCCTGATCTGACAGATCACAGTTATATACAAAACACCCCTCATTTCCAGAACCCAGCTTCCTTCTTGGAAAAGAACTTTAGATTAGCTTGATATGATCTGTGACTAAGGGCTATTTATGGTTCACATGAAGAGCACATTTAACCTACAGAAATAGTTCAGCAGGTGGTAGCTGTGTTAGCTAGTTAACAACAGAGTCCTGTGGAACCTTCAAGGCTAGCAAGTTCTAGTCAATACATTCAGATGAAGTGGGCTGCAATGCACAAAAGATTAGGCCAAATGAAACTCATTTATTCTGAAGGTGCCCAAAGATTTTTGTTGCTTTTGTTTCAGCTTAATGGAATTAACTGCCACAAGCTGTGGTGATAGGCACCAGCTAAGAAAACTTCAATACCAAATTTCAGAAATTCATGAGGTATTGCTGTGTAGACTTTTGAGTACCATATATTTGAGACAAAAGAAGACCTTTAGCTTAATCCTTCTACTTTTCTTTTGATCTTCTCAGAGATGTCTGGGCTGACCTCTGTTGGCATCAGCACTAAACTAGGTTGATCTTTAGTGTGATATACATTTGCTCTTAAAGACTCGTGATTCACAAGGAAAGGATCCTCAATGCCCTTTGTAAACCTCTTGCTCATCCCATTCTGATTGGAAACAAGACTCGTTATTTCAATGGTACTGAAATAATAGCACATTACAGTCATTTTTCTCATCAGTTAAGGTTGGACACAAATATTTTTTCTGATAATATCTTAAAGGTTCCTGAAAACATGAGATCCTGAACCTTCAGCTAGTTATGTCCCCTGGGAGCATATCAGACACAAGACTGCACAAATGTACAGTAGTTCACTCACAGGAGAGACAGCTTCCTTTTCTCACACAGCATATATTGTGTTCAGCACTTCTTTGAAAATCAATAAATCTGTATAGTTACAGAAAGTTGTATTTTCTGGTAGTTCATTTATATTGCTAGAGTGCTTTGACTCTGCATCACTGCTGCCACCATCACCACAAAGAAGTATATACAAACAGACAAGATTTATTTTGGGTTCTTACTTGATTCCGTATACTTTCTTCAGAGTCAAGATTCTGTTTTGAAATTTCAGCATTCTCTGTCTCATTACAGACAGGGCATGCTCCTCTCTCTCTGACAGTATAAACTGAAATGAAGGAAGGCAGAGGGCAACAAGATCTGCTTTGTTTTACTATCAGTTGTCAGGTTTGTCTTCATTTTAGGCAAAACAATTCTGGAGAAAGAATAGCATTCTTTGGTGGTTCTGCAGATCAAGTAATGCAAAACAGAACAGCAAGGCCCCAGATAGTTCAAAAGAGCTGTTTAAAGTTGCACAAGACTTTACAACTAGAGATGTGGGGATTTGTATACGAATATGAATACCCCTGCACGGGTGGATGTAATGAGGGTCAACTAGCCACTCATCAGCGTGGCAGGGAGGCTTGTCTTCCCTCCTTCTGCCAGGAGTGGCTAGTCAACTGTGAGCTCTGGAGCGATTGGAGAGAGTGCAGAGTCCACGGCAGCAGTGGATGAATGAGTGGATGGTTATGTCCTCCCGTGTGGGGGTATTTGTGTACGAATACCCCCATCTCTACTTACAATTATAAGAGCAAGTAATGTGTGGCCTACTGAAGACTATCATTATAGATTGGCACAAATTGAAAAAAATGAATTCCCAAATTCATTTGAAAAAATCACTAATTCTTTGCTTTGAGTTGTATGAATTAATGACCCTGACAAATACGAATCAATGAATTTTTAGCAATTTTTGATTTGTTGGGCTATAAAATGCCCCCCCCCAGGCACCTAGAGACACCAAAACTGCAGGTCAGCTTCATCTGACTCTCTTCAGAATCTGTCCAAGTTTGGTGAAATTGGGTTTCCCGAAGCCAGCTGTTAAAGGGCACTTTCCTGGGGTGGGGCACTTTGTGGGTGTATAACTTGGGTGTCTGAACTGGTTTTGGATCATGTGATTAAACATTTATATTGGGGATGAGATCTCATAATTGCTTCATCGGTTTTGTTTAAGTTTGAAAGTCATGCTGGGAATCTTTTTTTATGATTGAAAAGCAGAAACACACAAACAAGCTCATTGCTTGATACGCCCCAGATGGCCAAAGGAGGCACAACCAAACTAGTCCAACTTCTTTCCAACATTACCACCCACCTTACCATAATGATGAGTCAATCTAAAATAACCCCCTCATAGCCATAACCCTCTGAGGTTACAAAAGAAAGACAAAAGAGAACATTAATTTATTTAGAATTGCATGTGCTAGCTTACAGGCATGTACTGATCAAAAACTAAGAATTTTTTAAAATAAGAATTGTAATGCATTTCCCTAGAGTGTAGAAGGCAGTGACTAGATGCCTGTTGTATCTGTTGTATGGGTGCTCACAGTGCGTTGGCAACTTCTGGGTCCCTCATTTGCTTCCTTCAGGTTCTTTAAATCAGGTTTGGACTGTACAGTCTTTCAAATTGAGGATGCGTTCAAAGGAGAATTGATTTCTGTCAGTCCTTCAAACGGAACACAGTTTTCCACAAAATATGATGTAAGAGTCAACACTTCACAATCAGCTGTAAAGCAGGCTGGAAACAAAGCTTGTGTTCCCATCTGCTTAACAATGTCTTTCTTATGAATCCAAATTTGCATTACAAAGGAAAGATGAACCCAATAGGATGTTTGTCTGCACATGGATATGGCACATGACCAAATTCTTTCCACTGTACAGATACTATATAGAATACTATATAGAATAAAAGTACAAATATCATTTGGCCTAAGTTTTATAAGCCATTTTGTTATCACCACTTCAGTGAACAAAGCAAAACAAAACAGTGCCATACCTTCCAGGGGCATCTCCATTTTCATCAATTCGAACCTCCTCTCCTGAGACACCAATGAATGAAGAATTCAGGAGAAAATCCAAGAGTTTGCTTCCATCAATTGGCTTCATAGCATCACACAGTCCAACATGTCCTGGACAAAGGGCATGATGCATGTTCTGCAGGCCATGGGCCATAGCATAGATGGCATTGATAACAAATCCCATTTTACTGTCCTGGACATAGTTTTCTTCTAAGCTTTCATTGCCTGTAACCAATAGAGAACTGTATGTACACAATGTAACTGTACACAATTGTATGTACACAATGTAAATTAAAGGCAGCACATAGGAACAAATTTCAATGTACACAAAGTTACATGGGAAATCCTGTGGTGAATCATAACTGAAGTAGAGCCATTAAATCAGTGAAAACCTAGGGAATAAACTCCCTTGTAAGTTCCATTGATCTAATGGCCCTACCCTATCTGCAACTAACTACTAGATTTCAGCCATTGATATGAGAATAAAAATATCCAAAGCCCTTTAAATATGAGCAACATCCTTATGCCTGCATTTGCTTCCAGAAGGTCTCTTTCAAGGCTAGTCCAAGACAATTTGCTGCCTGAAGCACTGCAACAAATATTTTCCCTTTCTCCAATCCACCTACAGTATGCAGAGTCAGCCCAATGATTATGGTGCATAAGCAGAAAATCCCCCAAGTCTCATTCTCATTGCATGGCAGTAAACAACAACAACAATAAGACAAATGTACACTTTTCTTTCCCTTCCAAGGTGCCCCCAAATCTGTTTCTTGATACAGCTGTCTCTCTCTGTCTAATGATAGAGCAGGCCTACGTCCTTGAGATCTCTCTGCAAGATCTACCCATTTTTGGAAGTCTTCTTCAGCCCCAACACTTTGCCTTGACAACCAAGAGTAAGTCTGTGGGACTGAAGTCGTTGCATATTGTGCCTCCGTGTTCCTGCGCCTCCATTGCTCTCCCCTCCTGCTGTTGTCTTCATTAGGTCTGCTTCCAGATCATTCTTGCCTTCGAGTGAGCTATTTCATCTAATTCTTTGTAAAATAGCATGTGCACAGATAAGACCACATAAAGAAATAAATACGTAAAGGCACTCATTTTTCTGTTTAAAATGAGAACCTAACAGAGCTAGACCTCAGATGAAATGGAAAGAGGGGGAAATTAGAAATCCCACTCTCTCCTGAAAGAGCTGGAAAGGTGAACACACCTGAGTGCTTGCTGGACCATTTTAAAGAATAAAAACCCCTAGGACACACCTGAATATCTTTTTTTGGTCATGGCAGGGTCAGTTCTTATGCCTTGTTTCACAAGATTCTTTTTGCCTGCCCAGAGTCCTCTGCCTTCTAGCTGTGTCACCACAGGGTGATGAGTCAGTGGCATGAAAGCTGATGCCAGATTTTGCATGGATGGTCTAGCGGTGGGATGAGGATCTCCCCATGGCTCAGACTGTAGGCTGCTTACGCCTGAAACTCAGGTTCAGCTGCTTCATTGCAACTGGCAGCTGCTGGAAGCCAACAGCAAAGCTATCCAGAACTTGCAAGACTGGGCTGGGTCAGTCTGGGTTAGCAGTGGTGAGAGCAAACTAGATCCAGTGCTTGCCATGCATTTTGCATTTGCAGGGCAGATTTTTCTTAAAAGACTACTGAATCACACATGCACATCCACACAAGCTGGATATGGACCACAGCACTGAGGTGGGGGACATGAGTATCAGTTATCTTCTTATCATGCTCTCAACCAGAATCAGACATTCCTGCACACGCTTGATATTCAAGTTGGGAGGGAAATTCCCATGAAAGCTGATGGGAGCTTTTTTTCCCCCATTACAAAAGGCAGGGGTGGCAATTGATAAAAATCACAATTTGGCACAGAAGATTAGAGCCCTTTCCCTTATACCTCCAGGGTTAGTCCAACAAATTTTGCTGCCTGAGGCAGAAGGGCAACAGGCACTCGCTTTCCCAAGTCGAGGAGCATAGTAACCCAAACCAGCCATGCTATTTTGGCACGTAAGAAAGAAAATCTCACCACTATCTTCCCAACCCTGTCATGGAAGTAAAAACACAACACTATTAAATTAACTGAGAATTTATTGCATCTTTATGAAATCTTGCTTCCAAAATCTGCTTCCCAAGCTGTGCATTTCCCCCTGCCTAATGGATACAATGGCCCCAATCCAGCTCATCTTCCCAGCTGCACCAGCTCTTTGCTACAGATGAGTTAACTGCACAAGGACAAACAACATGACTGATGTTTGGTTTATTTTTTAGTGTGATCTGTCTCAAGAGACATGGTCTTAAATTGGTTCCATATCTGTTTCTAAATTTCTCTCCTCTTGCAAGTATTTGGAAGCAGAGCTCAAGATTCAAATTGTCCCCAAAATTAACAAATAAAATGAAACTCTCAACATAATGTTATATATAGGTCAGGAATATTCACTGATCTCTCTTTCTCTCATGCACACACACACAGAGAATCTATCTATGTATCTATCTATCCACCCGTCTGTCTGTCTGTCTGTCTGTCCGTCCGTCCGTCCGTCCGTCCGTCCGCCCGCCCGCCCGCCCGTCCATCCATCCATCTATCTATCTATCTATCTATCTATCTATCTATCTATCTATCTATCTATCTATCTTATCTATCTATCTATCTATCTATCTATCTATCTATCTATCTATCTATCTATCTATCTATCTATCTATCTAGTTATGCTATATGCCATCAAGTTGGAATCAACTTATAGTGACCCTAATAGGGTTTTTAAGGTAAGTGAGATATTTAAGGAGTACCTTTTTACCAGTTCCACACCTCCAGTGAGCTTCCATGGCCAAGTGGGAATTCAAATCCAGGACACCAGATCCATTACTCTATCCACTACATCACATTGAGTAATCAATGCAACTCATATATATTATATGGACAATCACAACTGGAATATAGATCCAGAATACCCTAGATCTCTGAAGCTGAAAGTTATGATGTGTTGTTGTTGTGGGTTTTTTTTTTTTTTTTTTAGACAATAACAACTGGAATATAAATGTCTGAAGCTGAAAGTTGCGGTGTATTGTTGTTGTGGGTTTTTTTGTTTGTTTTTGGTAATTCAATAAGAAACACATTGTCTGCATTTGCCTGTAAAAAGAGCCCACATTTAGTCTGTGGCATTTCCATTAACCATGCACACACAACAAGACCAAGGAGAAATTTAGACTTCCAGAAGCTTTAGACTTCAACTTCCAGAAGCCTCAGCCAGCATGGCCAATGGCCAGCAATTCTTTGAGTTGAAGTTCCAAAAATTTGGAGGACTTAAGGTTGACAACTACCTCTGCTTGATACCCTGGAAATGTGCTACCTATCATACTAGGCAGTACTAGCCTAGAGTCTAGGTATGATGATGATGATAAAATTTTCCTTCTTTTAATTATAAGAATAGCAAGCTGTTATACTAGACTAGATGAACCAGCAGTCTGGCTCAACATAAGGCATCTCCTAGAATTTCATGACCAGTATGGCCACAACTATAGTCCCAGGATCATCTTCAAGGGTTGCCCCTGGTAAAGCACATTGCAGTAATCAAGATGCAATGTAACTGAAGCATGGGGAACCTGTGGTCCCCCAAAGTAACTTTGTCAGGCCTTTGGCTGCTCATAGATCAAATGGATTACAAGTGTTGTACTGCCTGGTGCTTCTATTTGAATCAGCCTTGCTCACATTATTCATTACTTTACTCACAGTTCTGTTCAATTCACCATGCACTGGCTATGCTAGTTCGCTAGGCTCGCAAAATGAACAAAAAGTCTTTTATAGCAGCAAAAAGTTGAGCAGCTTTGAAGTGCCTCTGGACTCCCTGTTTATATCTGTGTAAAAAGTGAAACATGCTATAGTGCAAAGAAGCAGAAAATTTAGAAAGATTTGGGGACTATTGCTTACAAGTGCATGTAACATGGCATGCTGGTCTTTAGTTTTCTTTTCAAAGAACTGCTGCCTTAGAAAGAGCTGTTTGCAGCAAGATGCTGTGTGTGTGTCTGTTTAAACCTCTCCTTGTTCATTCTTTCTCTTGTTCAAATTGCCCAGCAGCTGCTTTCCCTTTGCAAAGTAAACATGCATTTGGATCTCCAACTGCTGAAGAAAAGGAAGCACATGCCACCACACAGATTTTCTGTTCCAAATTCCCTGATCTGCTGTTCTTTTATTTTTATCTGTAAAAGGTGTCTCGGCTCTGATAGCAATGCCATATGCGGTTAACTTTTCCCACATCTCCTTTCTCTCTCTAAGACCAGAGTCTAAGATGAGAGGAGGAAATGTCAACACCTATCACTGGAAATGAGACATACAATTCATATCAGAAGTATAAAAATAAATAAATAAATGCATGAATGACTCATGTGTTAGCTGTTGCTGCTTCTGTGCAATGCCCAAAGCCTCCTCGTGTCCCTGGGGTCCCTGTGTTCTATCACAGTATGCTAGAAAATATAAACCCAGACTTAATGCTCTGTTCTTTAATCATTCACAAGGCAACTCTTCACCACTTTCATAATACAGGATATATGAGGCTTCTGTTAGGATTGAGGTGAGTCCATTATGTAAAATTGAATTCTAACTTTGCAATATAGTATTATTTCCACTGCATATGACATCTCTGTATTTCTTTGGCTACATTTCTAGTGGTCAGGAAATATATCAGCCAGATAGTGAGAAATATAGAGAGAAATGTACCAATGATGCATCTGCATAGGATTTTAATGACTGCACACAAAAAAAGAGATTAAAGAATATTATTACTAGGGAATTTTATCTTTTGGGTCTGTAAGCATGGCACACTGTGATGAAACCATACACTTAGAGTGCAGTTACACTAGGAAAACAATGATATTTGAATTGGGTTTAGCATGTTTTACATTGATTTTTAAAAAGATGACTACAGAACACATTTGGAAGTGCAGATTATTTTGACATGGAATTGTTGTATCTTAATCAGAGATTTACGTATTTTACTCTTCCACCAGAGGGCCATTTATATCAATTTACAGTACTTTAAATCGATTTGGCATAGGTGAATGCCTCTGTTGGCTTTAATTTTTAATGATCCCTCACACTGGCTGCATCTCACAGCCACTTGCCCCTGACACTGTGTTGTTGTTGTTTCTTGCTATCTGGTATAGTGCTATATCAGATGGCAAGAATGTTAAATAAAATTAAAACAGAGCTTTGCCCTTATCCCCGTCGGTGCCGTC